CTCCTTTTCTCCTTTTCTCTTCTTCTTAATTTCTCTCTTTCGACGTCTGCTGTAGTTTTGCCGGGTAGTGTTGTTTTTCAACAGCCAGAAGAGGCGGCACGCGGGAACGCGCAACTTCAGTCGCCACCCACTCGCCCTCGCCCGCAGTACACTTCTCTCCCTTTCCCTCGCGGCAATGACAGTGGGACTTGTGCCACACCGGCCTGTTCGGCTGCTCTCGTCGAAGGAGTTTGTGACGAGGATGCACACCTTATGCAAGGACTCTTCCGTGTCGTGGGTGGTCACCGGCGAGGCCGCGCCGATGCTCGTGATGGGTATTCCGCGCAACACGCTGCCTGAGATCCCGGCGGCCACCAGCGCGGCCGACTCCTCGCCGCCGCGGTGTGTGTCTGTCAACTCGCGTGCTTCCTCTGACAGCGATGTGCATGAAGTGAGCCCGTGGAGCAGCAAGAAGTGCCCACCGTCGGCGGCGGGGGGCAAAGGGGGGGTGACTCGCCCGCCCGCGCAGAAGACGGTGCCGTCCAAGGTGAGGAATCGGACAAGGCCAATGACGGCGGGCACAAAGCGGCAACGTTCCATTGAGAACTTCCTTGCACGCCAGCGATGACAGCTTCACCTCCTTTTTGTATCTCTTTTTCTTTGACTTTCTATGAAAGCGTTTGTATGCAGGCAGAAATGTCGTGATTCGGGGAAAGCGTGGCCCCCGCCGTACGCTGTGGCAAGCCCCGCTTGAAGGTGCCTTCACGAGGTGAAGATGACGAGGACAAAAAAGCGAAACAAAAGACAATGTACGCATGCACACTCAGTTCGATAAAATTCTCTGTTTTGAAGAGCAGCACGTTTCTACAGCAGTGACCGCAACTGTTTTTTTTTTTGTGTTTGTTTTGTTTATTTCTGGGTTTGTGTAAATCCACATTCACATGTACGCACCCACAACCCCAGTCTTTTTCTCCACTAAATAATAAAAGGACAAAAACAAAGACTAACATTGCTTATTGTATATATATATATATATATATATATACATCGACGCTGGTCCATACTGCCCAGCTAAGCTAGGTGACCAGCAGCACATAACAAAAGAACTAAACATGCCCTCCTTTAACTTTCATCCCGGATTTGCTGGTCATGGCATTCGATGCAATCCATGGAACCCAACGCAGTTCGTCCTCACTGCAGCCGAACACTTTGGTGTGGCAGGGTCAGGCAAGGTATACATTGTGAATGTGGCACCAGGGGTGCCACCGGGGTCCCCGGTCTCCCTTTTTGGATGTTGGGGAACGAGCGACGGGGCGTTTGATGCCTGTTTCAGCGAAGTGGATCAAAATGTTATGGCCGTGGCCTGCGGTGATGGGGTGAAGCTATACAATGTGGCTGAGTCTGTGAACCGGGATGGTGCTCCACCCTTAGCGCATATCGCAGAGCACCAAGCAGAGGTGGCGGGAGTGACCTGGAACCGTGACAGCTTCTTCTCCTGCAGCTGGGATGGCTCCGTGAAGTTGTACCAGGCGGCCAACCCGACTGTGTCGGCCATGACCTTTCACGAACACGTGAAGGAAGTGTATGAAGTTTCTTGTTCCACACGCAACCCCGCATCGTTTTTGTCGGCCTCTGGGGACGGCACATGGAAGTTGTGGGACACGCGTGCACCGCGCTCTGTTCTGACGCAGGCTGGGCACAATTACCAGATTGTTCTCAGCATTGACT